GGTAGTAGGCACCAATAAATAGTTTCTTAAATTGTGATAGCGATTTATTTTAGCTAGAGAACATGATATCCGTTTGTGTTGTCTCCGTCTTACAAGTGCGTATAACATAACAAAAACTGTTTAGCACGGGATAGAACCACAGTCTGTACTGTTATAATAGAAACACCAAAAGTCAACACAATATAGAAGATAATATTTTCTGTGTCGTAGCGTTTTTATTCGTTTGATATATTTAATGAGAAAAAAGTCGACATACTTTTAAAAATCTAATATTTTTCAGTTATTAAAACTTCAATAACATTTGATATATCGGTGTTATCGTAAAAATAAAAACGCTGCGACACAGTTAAAATTCTCCCTTCTCCATGGTRTAAATTTGGTTTCTTAGTTATAACTATATGTACTCGTAGACTTCTCGGTTCTTTACCGCGCGAAACAGTTTTTGCTATGTTACGCACTTGTAAGACGGAGACAATAACACATGAGGGTATCACGTCCTCTAAAGTACACTGTTCTACGACGAAACAGTAAATAATAAGTACAGTGTATAAAATAATATGTATGTACAATATACATGCATGAGCATGATGCATTGATACTGCGTCGCGTCGTAATCCAAACAAATTTTTATTCCGGCTACCATAAATTTGCATAGTTCATTACCTTATATTTTATAACATATTGTAATCGGTAAAAATACAAAATGCTTATATATTACGCACCTATTTAATTTTTTTTTTTTGTATGATTTACACTTGTACAGATGTGAATGATACAATAATAAAAAATTCTCACGAATATTTTGTTTGTCGTTGGTAAAAATATATTTTACAATTATTGAACAACTGACTATTGTATATTTGTATACCTATATGAATATGAATATGATATAACAAAAATATTGTACGAGTGGTTGCATTTGTAATAATTAAATAATGTAAATATTCCYTGACGGTTTCGCCAACGACCATACCACGTTGAATACACCAGTTCTCGTCCGATCMCTGAAGTTAAGCAACGTCGGGCGTAGTTAGTACTTGGATGGGTGACCGCTTGGGAACACTACGTGCCGTTGGCTTTTTTTGCCCTTTCACCGACATTTCAAACGATTCCAWAAGTTAAATTTTTGATTCTGATTAAAGCGTTGAAAAATAACTTTTTACAGTCCAGCGTATAGTTAACGAATTGTTAATGTTTTTTATTTTGACYACTGAACAAGAAAAGTGAAAATTCCGGTTCGAGGAAYACAATTTGGATATTGTCTAAACCAGTGGTYTTACACTCAAATTATATCAACAAGCCATACATTTATGGACARATGTAAKATGGGCACGCATTAATATTTTTTGCCGCAAGCTCGATCCAGCTAGAAATGTCAGCTACATAATGAAAAAGTAAACACATAATTATTAGCACAACATAATTCAATCTTATGTTAATAAATAATGTATACATTATAGWTATACATTTTTATAATTTAATTATAACATCTATAGCCAATTCGCATACTTTTCAATAATATATTAATATGAAAACTAATTAATTTTTGAAGGATAATGCGAATCACC